TAAGTTAAGTGTGCGCAAGTAAACTGCGCTTATTTCCTTGTGAAGAATTTCTGGAAGAACGCTTCTGTCCATGGTAACCGACTCTGGGAAGGACAGTGACCAACTGTGGGACATTTGAATCACTTACTTTTTAAAATGAGAGTATGCTTTTTAACCTAGGGCTTTTTGTTCATGTTGTTGATTTATTCAAAGGTGGTGTCAGCTTTCTGTCACTGTGAGCAAATATAACTGTGAGAATAAGCTTACAAAAAGCAAGGTTTGTTTTGATTCAGGGTTTTACTCTGGGGTGCCCTGGCTGTGGCTCTGGGCTACACCACTGCAGCATGTCCTGGTGGGATCATGGGGCCCAGATGCTCACCTTGCGGTGTCCAGGAAGCACAGAAAGACAGACAGGGGCTGGGATTCCCGTCTCCCTCGAGGCCATGCCCCCAGGGACCTCACTTCCTCCTTCAGGCCCCTCCTCCTGAAGTTCTGCCATCTCTCAGTATGGCCAAGATGGAGGCCAAGCCTTTGACATACAGACCTATGGGGACATCCCAGTTCCAGACTACAGTGGATAAAAGATAAGAAACACAAAAAAGAAAACAAACCCAGTCTATTGCTGCGTCCTGGCCTAAGACCAACACAGGAATTGGGGTCACTGTAGTGCCATACCTCTGCCCAGCCAGCCCATGTCTTTCCTAAGGGTCACTTAGGTCTCTAATCACTATTCCTGCAGGCTCTTGAGAACAGGAGTTGGGACAGTGTTCTCCTTAGAAGCGGAGGAAGCTGAGGCATGGTGGGTCCCCATCCTCAGAGAGCTCTGCCTTTGCCTCGGTTGGCCTGGGAGCATCTAGGCGGCCCTGGGCTGTCCAGTTCCTCTGCGCTATTCTACCACAGCATGGCAGCCACCCACCAGAAGCTAGACTTCAGAGGGCTTGCCACGCTCCAAGTCCTGCAGAGAAGCCAGGCACAATCCCTGCCCCAAGGCCGGATCAACCCCTGAGCTCCTCCAACCTGATCAGTTACCAGGAAGAACTGTGTGAAAGCCTAGGAGCAGCACCGACCATGGCTCTGGACAGGAAACAGCCAGGCACCCTCTTCCTCCTCTTCCTCCTTTCTCATTCTCTGTATCTTCTTTCTCTACTGCCTCTTCCTCCTTTTCCCCTCCTCCTCCTCCTCCTCTTCCTCCTCTTCCTCCTCACCACCGGTTCATGAAGCCTCTCCTCTAAGCAAAAGGAGACAAACCCTATAGGACAAGAGCACTGAGTGTCCTCCTGTCACTTCCTCCAGAGACACCGCTGGCTTTCGTGGCCTGTGGCTTCTCCAGGTGAAGCACAGCTGTCACCCTTCACCTCCTCTGTCCCACGTCCGTGAGCTGCTGTCTTCAATCTCCACGGTGCTTGTCCCATCCACTTCTCAGGTACTGTCCCACCTCCGAGTCACGGCCCTGGCCCCGAGTCTGCCGTGCTCTTCCCTTCTCCTGCAGGCCTAAGTCAGTTCTCCTGCCCACCGCCAGCTGGGGACTGGAAGGGGCACTCGCAGTAAGAGCCTCTGCCTCTGCTGCTGGAGCTGGAACAATAAGAGGACGGACATTGGATCCCACCATTGCTCTGTCTGCCTGCAGCCCACGGGCCCCGGCAAGCCAGGTGTCCCCAGCCCTGGGGCACAGCCGAGACCCGAGATGGAGGGGATGCGTTCGGTGGGGCCAGGGTCCTGGCGCAGGGAGGCAGGGGTTCTGGGGCAGGGCTGCGGGTGCTCTCTGGTCTGCGGGCCGGATGGGGCTGATGGGTGCTGGGCAGGGTGGTCATGGCCTGCCCACTGTCCCCCTTGGCGGCAGCGGATATAGCATTTAATTTGCACCTTGACAAGCATCTGCCCCTTAAAACGCTCAACTGTTATGTTCTTCTAAGATGTCTGTCACAGGGAGACTTTCCAGCCAGGAAGAACAGCAGGGGGCTGGAGGTAGAGGGGTGCAGGGTGGCCCAGCCAGGACTGGGGAACTTAGGAGCAGCAAAGGACTAGGGAGGAGGCCAGGCCGAGGGCCTTCAGGACAACCGACCCCCTCCTTCCCGCTAACCCCCAAGCACAACAGCAGGAAGCCCAAGGAGTGCGAACACGGGGGAGTGCAGCTGCCTTCCAGTCTGAGGCACCGGTGGCAGCCTGTCACCCCCCTCCCTGCAAGGATCTTGCTTTCTGGGGAAGAGCAGAGGAGCTGCCAGCTCCAGATGTTGGCGAAAGTCCCTGAGGTGGACATGTGCCCGGCAGCATGGCTGTCAGAGCTGGGCCACGGACTCGGCGTCCTGCTCCAAAGACAGTGTGGGTCTCGAGGTTGGCCACAGTCAGAATGTCGACCCTTCAGGCTGGGAAGAGCCCTTGTATCCCATGTCCCTCTCCCAAACTGAACCCGCACCCAGGTGCCCTGCAGCTCCAGAGAGAGACACAGGTCCCCACGTGCCACGCCCTGGCTGGCACGGAGCCATCAGCTTCCGGTTCTCACCATGGAAACGCTCAGGCCTGGTTCCTTGGTGCACTGACCCTGGGCGTGTGCTCTTTGTGTATACAGCTAATGGGAAGAGGAGGATGTCTCTTTTCTTTTTTCAAAATGTGCAATTATGGCAGTTAAAACATTGCTAAAACAAAGAGTACAAGCTTCTACTAATCAACCGTGACTCATCATTATCTTTTTCCTATATATTTGCCACAAGGATATGAAACCTTAATGCATAAAATCAAACATTAAAAACATAGTTAATGAAAGCATTGTAAAAACAACTGGAGATGAAGTAAGCACCAACACACTGTGCTCTAAGGAGTATCTGGACATGATCGTTCCTCCTCCTCCTCACTAAAATACAAGTCTCCCAGGATTGTAACAAATTTCTACCTTCAAGGCCATCTGAGCCTACGAAAAATCCAAGTGAGCATCTGGACTTTTAAAATTATTATTTGGACTTTCTAATTATTTTTCTCCTGCAACAACAAGGTGCAGCTGTTTTGGAAGTGACCAAAGAGGCAAGGTGACCTCCTCAGACGGGGGCAACTAGACGCCTCTGAACTTCTCCGGTTTGTGCGTGTGTTTCTTGGCAGGAGGCGGGCTCTCCCTGTGTGAGGATGCTCTTCCTGCTTCATGAACTGCCTGGACAAGGAGATTGGGGGGACTTTCTGGAACTGAACTGGAAGCAGAGATCCCTTGCTTCTCAGTGATGTGGAATTAAGAAGAAACAATTTAAAGCTTTCTGGCTTCAACAAAGGAACCCTTAAAAATGCAGTGTGAGCTGGGCATGGTGGCGCATGCCTGTAATCCCAGCACTGAGGAGGCTGAGGCAGGAGGTTCACTGTGAGTTCGAGACCAGCCTGGGATACACAGTGAGTTCCAGGTCAGTCTCAACTACACAGTGAGACTCTGTCTCAAAAAACAAACAACAAACAAAAAAAGCAGTGTGAAAAACAGTGAATTCCAGTCCTGTGTGCAACTGGGACACACAGGGAAAGGGCTCGGGGCCACATTCAGGCAGAGGGTACGAGGACACTGGGAAGGAAAGGCTCTCAGCCCTGGCAGGGCCTGCAGAGGCCCCGAGAGCCACCTGCATCCTGTCATTCCAGCTCTCTGCCTCGGCCACACATCACAGGAGTCTTCCGGGATAGACCTGCCCCATGCCCTCCCCTCGCGTCCGCCCGCCCAGCTGGGGGCACACTCCCAGAAGGGAAGCAGTGCCACGGTGGCCGCCTGAGCCCTGCGTGGACATCACCCATCCTTGACTTCCCTCCTCACCCGGCAGGGACCCAGCTCTGAGCTTGTGAGACACAGACCGGCTGAAGACCTCAGCAGCAGCACGGGAGGCTGACAGGGTTTGGCAGTGGCTGTCAGGTACACCTGAGCTGGTCCCCATGAGCGGAACTCACAGGTACCTGCACAAGGAACACGAGAAACTGAGGGGCCATCATTGCTCTATCAGTGTCACAACTGCCTAAAACCCAGTGAGCATCCAGACGCTGCAGGAGCTGGGGACCCCAGTGGGGGCTGTGGCAGAAAGGCCAGGGCTGGCTGGCAGATTCCTGTCCAAGCAGGCAAGCACAGTACTTGCCACTGCGGAGTTTAGGCTCCAGCTGGAAAGCTATTGAATTGGAATGGGATCTGCAACAGGTGAAAGGGGTCACGGACCCCTGGGCTCCCTTCTCGGTCTTGACAGCTTTTTGGGTCCCAGAATAATACACAAATCTAATTTGGAAGACTGTTCTTAGGAAACAAGCCAACTTTAGGAAAGAACACGGCATCTAGAATAGTCCCACCAGGACCTTCAGGGAACCCTGCTGTGACAGAGCCCAGGCAGGGCACAGGCAGAGACTGCAGGGGCTGTGCCAGCCAAGGGCCAACCGGAAAGCCTGTGCCAGCATGGACAGGAGGTGCCTGCCGCGCACCATGGTGCCTGCAGGTGGCGCTGTACTGTGGGGCCAGCCTTGTCCATCTGAACACAGTCTGGGGGGCTGGAACCAAAGCAGACCTAACAAGACCCAGTATCCAGATGCCTCGGGGCGGGTCTGTGGTTTGGAAACAAGGGAAGGACACCCACATAGGTGTTCCGGGTCTCTGGCTCAAATGGGAGCTACCTGGAAGGTACCTGGCGGTCAGTCCCTAAGCCCCCTGCCTCACCCAACCCTGTAAACCCAGTGTGGAAGGGTTCAGCCCTGGACCCCAGATGAAGGGGCCTCGTTAAGGTGAAGGTGACTCCTAGTGCTCAGCGGTGGGGAACCTGGTGTCTGCATTATAACCAGACCAAATAAAGATGTCAAAGAAATATGGCAGTGAAAACTCCCCAAGTCTCAAGCTCCCTGCTGTTGAGAGGGGAAAAAGAGACAGTGTACAGATGGGAAACACTGTGCTTTTTGAAATAAAGGAATTCGGTACCTATCCACCCGCGGTGTGGCCGCTGCTTAGACTGCTGAGTGCGTTTACTGTTGAAATGAACAGGAAGGCACCGACGGGAGCCAAGGCGAGGCAAGCCTGTCCCACGCATTGGTCTCCCACTGAGAAGGACACGCGGGCACTGTTCTGTGTGGAGGCTGATTTATTAGAGTGTTTTTATTAACAAGCTCTCCTCAGCTAGCTCTGAGTGCACTAAAGCAGCAGGCACGTTGGTGTCGAGGTTTGGCAGCGGACAGTCCACAGAGCTGCACCGCCCTCTCGCAGTTCTGTCGCAGCTCTGCACACTGCCCTGGCCGGGCCTGTGACCAGCCTCGCCCAGGAAATGGTTCAATAGAAGCTTTGGTTCGCTGTGACTGAAATGTTCCAAGTTCAAGACTGCACCAGCCTGTGACAAGGTCGACTCGGCTCCCCTTGCTGCTTTGCCATTCCGATGCTGTGCACCAGAGACTTTGCTTCTGGTCTCCCCGCCACCCTCCCCGTGTCTGGCATCCCTGTCTCTGCGGAGACCCCTTTGATGATCCTCAGGATGACAGTGTGGGAGCCATGAAGAGCCAGAATCCCCACAGGCCAGCGGCGACAGCTCTGCAGCCCCAGAGGGCTGAGTGTCAGAGCCCAGCACGCCACGTGCGCCAGTCTTGTCCCAGGGCTCTGGGGCCTGCACATGGGGCGTCTGCGGGAGGTGACAGTTCTGAGGCGGGGAGCTCTGCCTTCTGGGTGGCTTCCCCTGGCCCTGCAGGCAGGGACAGGGGTGTGAGTGCGGGTGTGGGAGGTGGTGCACGAAACTCTCGGGGGCTGGATGTGCTACCTGCAGAGGCAGCACCCCGTTCTGGATCTGGAGAAAGCTGGCTGGGGCAGGGGTGCAGTGGCCACATGCAGAGTCGTCCACCTGCTGGCAAGAGTGTGAGCTGCACATCAGGAGTCTGTAGGCGTGCAGGCAGTGGCATCTCTGATTCAGGGAGTAAAAGGGGTGCACAGGGTGTGGCTCAGGACAGGGCGGGAGCAGGGCAGTGCTCTGGCTGTGCTCCCCAGCGTGGGCCGCATGCCCAGGCCCCCCCGAGCCCCCCACTGGGCTGCCGAGAAGGTCGGTGCAGAGGTATGTCTCCTCGTGTGAGGTCTCCCCTGAGGCTGTGCAGCCGTGGGACGCCAGCGGTTCCAGCGGTTCCAACTCGTAAAGCTCCCGCTCCCGCTCTGGCTTCTGGCCCTGGGGATCCATGTGGCACACATCCGAGGGATGGGCTTTGCCCTGCCCTTTGTCGCCAGGACCTGAGGACAGGGCATGGGCAAAGGCTCTAGACTGGAGCCTCCTGGGCAGCGGGACCTGCCCACAGGAGCCCTGTGGCCCAAGGCACCGGCACATGCACTGGAAGAAGAAGGTGGCAAAGGCCCAACTGACGCACATAACGAGCATCATGAAGGTGCCCAGCTGTGCGTAGGCCAGCACAGTGGATGGCATCATCATGGCCCCAGCCACGAAGGTGGTCAGGGCGGCCATGGCGATGGCCGAGCCCATGCGGCTCAGAGAGAAGATCACCTTGCCCTCCCGATCGGGGTCTGGGGCCAGGCGGTACGCAACCCCATAATGGACAGCAAAATCCACAGACAGCCCCACGGCCACCGAGATGGTGACGGACTCCAGAACGTTCAACTCCCAGCCCAGCAGGACCAGGGACCCCACAGTGACGAAGATGGTGCCGGCGATGGAGACAATGGCGTACAGGCTGATGACGACATTCCACGTGGTCAGCAGCATCACGCTGAAGGCCACTGCCACCGACAGCCCCATGGCGATGAGGGTGCCATCCGAGAGGCTGTCCTGGAGGTCATAGAACTCCAGGCTGCTCACAAACCAGCCATTGCCGAGGCCCTCGGGTGCAGAGCGCAGCTCCTGGGAGATCCACGAGTCCACCTCGCTGTAGAACTGGTGCATCTTCTCGTAGGCCAGCGTGAAGAGGTGGGCACTCTGGAACTCTAGCACCACGGCCCGGATGGTGTCGTTGACGTCGAAACGTGGCCCCGGCGTCCTGCTGTCCAGGTGGTAGCCTGTGCTCCTCTCCAGCTCCATGATGGCCCTCTTGATGCACAGCTCGAAGACCTCCTGCTTGTAGGGGAAGCTCCAGTGGCTGCAGCACGGGTACAGGGCGGGCTCATCACAGTCCTGGTTCTCCATCCACTGCTTGAAGGTCTCGATGAAGCAGCTGGTGAAGTCCTGCTCATCAGTCTGGTAGAAGAACGTCTGGTTCCTCAGCTTCTGGCAGAAGTGCAGAATCCAGGCCTGGGACGCAGGGCTGGCGATGTTGAAGGTGCTGTCCAGCGTCAGTTTGCCCTTGCTCTTGGGGTTGAGCGGGTTGCCGTTGTCCTTGGGGGACACGCCCCAGACCACAGTGATGGGCATGTGCAGCTCCTCGCCGTGGTGCACGCGCTCAAACATGAACAGCTTCTTGTACTCAGCGTCGTAGCGCTCAAACGGGTGGGATGCGCGGAACACCTGGAACTCGGACAGCTCCAGGGAGGGCAGCTTCATCTTGGGGTTCACACACACGATGTAGGCACCGCCCACCGTCAGCGCAAGGAACCACAAGAGCCACAGGTAGCGGAACTTAATGACGACGCACGGCAGCACTTTCTCGAAGAAGATCCGGGAGGCCTCAGAAACAGCGAGGAGCAGCTGGTGGCACTTCCGGCGGGCCACAGTCCAGCAGCTCTTGTCATCGTACAGCAGCTGCTGGGGCTTCCGGAAGCAGTTGAAGATGTTGAGCAGGTAGCGCTCGTGCAGCACGACCACAGCCGGGAGCCAGGTGACCATCAGGACGTAGTTCACCAGGATGGCGGTGCCCGCGTACACCCCAAAGCACCTGATGGCCGTGATGTTGCTGACGTAGTTGGCGTAGAAGGCGGCAGCGGTGGTGAAGCTGGTGACGAACATAGACAGGGCGGCATGCTGCAGGGTGGTGCTCACCGTCTCGGAGGTCTTGGCGTGAGGCTTGTCACACTTGGTGTAGGTCCACACGTCACACAGTACAAACGCGTCATCGGCCCCGATTCCAACCAGAATGATGAGTGCGGTGAGGTTCATGAAAGGGAAAAATTCGAAGTTAAACACCACGCGGTAGAGGAAATAGGAGACGATCAGGGAACTGATGACGGCGAACATCGTCATCAGCGTGATGAACACGGACTTGGTGTACACACACATGACCAGCAGGACGATGACGATGGCGATGGCCGGGTACACCGTGTCCATCAGCAGATAGTCCTGGAACAGGCTGTGCTTGATGCCGAACTCGATGCCGGTGACGGTCGTCACGCCGTCGGACGAGTTCCAGCTCTCGAAGTTGTCCAGGTAAATGCTCATCATGCTCTTCCCCTTCTCCGTGGGCGAGAACAGCATGCTGTACTTCAGCGCCGGCGCGGTGCGCTCCTCCACCTTCGGGCCCAGGAAGTCCTTGTCCACCAGGTAGTGCAGGATCTGGTACACGGCGTTGTACTTGGTGCACTTGCGTGGCACGCTGGCGCACTTGAGCTGGTCCTTCCTCCGCGCCGCTGCGTCCCAGCAGTCGGGCCCCAGGGTGCCGTTCTGGTAGTGTCTGGCACAGGTGCGCAGCAGCTTCAGGGTGTGGGCCACGTCGCGCTCCACGATGCTCTGACAGGACGACCTGTTGTTCAGGATGGCGATGTAGTTGCCCAAGGTCCAGCTTGGGCAGCAGGAGGCAGCCGTGGTCCTCTGGCAGAGATCGCCGAACTGGGGGTGGGCCCTGATCTGTAGAGACACAGGGCAGGACCCGTGTTTAGAAGGCGTGGTTGGGGAGGTGGCCACTGCCTCGTGGGAAGGTTAGGGGCTCAGTGACCGACCTCTACACCAGAGGTCAGTGCCACACTGCTGAAATGTCTCTAAAACCATTCCCCACTACGTACTGGGCTCTGAGTTACTTTATTCTGACCTACAAACTAGTGTGTGGAGTAAATTACAAGTGCGAAGCAAGAGCGGCCAGTGCAGGTTTGCAGGACAAAATTCACACCTGTGTGGTGGAAGCTCTGTCAAGGCCTTGTAAACAGCAGCTCGTGGAGAAGCCGTGAAGCCTGTGTGTGTACAGGACTAAGAAGCAATCACTCCATTCATATTTCAAAGAGATCTGTGGCTTAAAATTTCTTATCAGCATGATCTTTTTGGTGGCACAGATTCAATGCCCCAACCAACACAGCTGGAGGCAAAGGTGCTATTCCAAGAAAACGGCTGAGGGCCCTTATATATGTTCCTGAAACTCCTAGCTTAGACCCTAACCCAAGGCAAGGTCACCAAGGGCCAGCCTCTGTCTGGGGTGATGCGTGCCCTTCTGAACAAGGCACGATGCTGTTTGTCCCTGTGCCACGTAAGGACACGAGGAGCCAGCCTGGGGCAGACACCACTCTGCAGACCCCTCGATCTCAGACATGCCACTGCCTGAACTCTCAGAGTAAATTCGCTGTTTATTAATTCCCAGTCAGAGCAATTCAAAGAAACTAAGACAAAAACTGCCCAGTGAATCAAAAATCGACCCTTGAAATATCCAAACACTGATGTCATGGTGCACAAAGGATTTAGTTTCCCCCTGGGATTTGGGTAGAAAAGGGAATGGTTTCTAAATCAAAACATTATGTTTTATCTGATCTTAATGTATACCAATAATAAGCAGGAACTTGATTATTTCTTTAAATTCTTAAAAAGGTTTTCAGGATGGCTAAAAGCTCCTCGTGAACCCCAAGGAATGAGGAGATGGGACTGGATTCGGCATGGACTGTCCTTCACGGGAACACACTCTGTGGAGAGGGCTTCCCTTCCTGGGGCTGTTCTTGCCAACAGAAAGTAAAACAGGGTCTTCACCCTGGCCTTGCTAGATGACCAGAAGCAGGGACAGCCTCTCTCCCTTCGTCCCGGAAAGTGACGGCAGTGCCCCTCCCCACACTGCCAGAGCCCCTCCTAGCAGCACAGCAGCAGATGCCTGGCCTCACTGCCGTCCCTCCTCTCAGACAGGGCTGTTCCAGGAAAAGCTTGGAAGTTCAAGGGCCTGGACACTTCTCTGGTGGGACGGAACATGCCCTTCGCCCTAGTGAGCCAGGCTGTGCCAACCTGGGTTGTGAGGCCTTTGCAAAGTGGAGAAGGTGGCACAAAGTGACTCTGTGACTTGGCTCAACCTAAGGCCAAGTTACCGTGGTCCCTCAAACCTCCTGCAGCACTGGGCTGGGTCTAAGCCGGGTCAGGGGCCAAGGACGCAGGCCTGGGAGTGGGCACTGGAAATGCTGAAGAGGTGACCTGCACGCAGGGTTTCAAAACAGTTTATTCTTACAGAAAATCTCCACAATAAGAGGCCACATTTGTTTGCTGTTCTTTAAAGATACACTGAGAGTCAAGAAAAACAAGCTAAAAGGGTTATTGTTCAAACATACAAAAATAATATTTACTTTCACAGACTTCCTTTCTAAGCTCATTCTTTAAAGCAAAAATATTTTATGAAACGGTAATTCACATTTGAGCCTGTGAAAACCATTTACATGCTAACTGGGTGAGAATCGAATCACTGAATGGATCCAGGGCCCGGACTGGCACCTGCTGGGTTCCGCGGCATTAATCAGCTGCTCCCAGGCGAATGTGCAGGCCCAGGGCAGCCTGTGACCCAAGAGACCAGTGACGCAGCCCTGGGGCCCCAGGTCCCAGATGGAAGAGAATGAACTGTGGCTGCAGGAACCACCACCAGCTCGGCCAGCAGCACTGGGGTCACAGAGCAGCTGGCAAGTCAAGTGGGAATGCCGAGCACTCTCCTGCAAACCCCTCCCAGGACGGCGGTTACAGCACGCACCCTGGACCAGAGATGAAGGACGCTGGGCACTCTACACTGAGCTGCTGCCATGCCGATGGCTGCTGTCGACCAGAAATGCACGTCAGCCATGCAGAGCCAGCGTCAGACTCAAAAGCGGGGCTGCCGAAGCACAGCCTTTCAGAAACTGCTTTTGAGGGCTCCGCCGGGCTGAGGAGCAAGGGCAGAGAGAAGCCACCGTGACCAGGGTCCTAACCGCCCTGAGCTGGACGAGTGTCCTGACTCTAAGGGTCGGACCGCAAGGAATACTGCGCTCTCAGGTTAGGATATGGCCCCCTGCCCGTCCTTCAGAGGAGATGATGCCCACTGAGCACCGCTGTGAGATGAGCACAGCACAGCGCCCCTTGCCCTCATGTGCTCACAGGGAGGCAGGAAAACCCCACACAAAGATAAACAACGGGCTGAATGTGGCAAGTGCGGTGTCGGGTGTGAGGACTTACTGGCACTCAGAGGGAGCGCCACAGCCAGAGAGCACAGTGCTGCTGGGCATGGCAGCACACGCCTGCGATCCCAGCACTGGGGAGTTTGAGGCCAGCCTGAGCTACACAGTGAGTTCAAGCCCAGGCTGGGATCTGCAAACTATGCTTGTCTTGTTCTTGCTGGGGATAAAAAGCTGAGCTCCTGCTTGGCCACCCCTCCTTAGGAGCCTGGTAAACACCCAGACCAGCACAGTCCATCTGCTCCTTTGGACACTCTACACCAGGGGCAGGGAACCCATGGCACGCATGCTGCAGCAGGCTGTTTATACCAATGCAAGCTCTAAAAGGCCTGCCGCCACTGGGCTAGGTATACAGATGCTCCACTCCAAGCCGCAGAAAGCCATGCTTAGATTCTGCTGCTTTCCTTCCTCAAAGCAGTGCTTCTGCAGTAACATTCCCTGCTACCCGGCCACCTGCAATCATCTGAGATTCGGTAACCATCTCTGACGAGCATGCTGTTCCGAGCATGGAGACCGTTGGGGCTTCCCCTTTCTGTCTTGGCCACAGGAAAAGGAAAGGTGCTTATCTAAAAAGACCTGTGTGCACTGCTATGACTTCAGCCACAGACAGGAAACTGCTTTTCCCTCTGACTGTCAGGAGGCAGGGACAAGGGCAGCTCCCCAACAGGGCAGAGGATGGAGAGGCAGGCAGGCTGGAGGGGACGTCTCGTCCTCGGCTCTCAGGTCTTCTGATCCATCTGACCTGTCACCGCCATATGCTGATGGTTGTCATCAGACGAACAGTTGGGCAGGTGGACAAACTAATATGCTGTCTCCACTGACAGAAGTGATCATAGCACAGTACTGCTCCTGGGGTTTTGAGTCTTTGACTCCATTCGGACTCTCACAAGTGCTCCTGGAACAGATGGACAGTCGTGCAGTAACACGGGTACTTTCCAGGCCATGCTGACCAGCGTGGCGACGGCTTGTGCAGTAAAACAGAACAAAGCACAGTGGATGGGAGACGCGCTTTCCACGACAGAGCGCAGAGGCTGGTGGGTCAGGCCGGACTCTTGAGTCCACCCTGGCTGGCTTCAAATCTTGGATCTGACTTAGCATTGGTGGGGACTTTTCCAGTCTACAAAATGAATAACTAATAGCGTCTAGTTCTAACATGGTCACGAAACTCATTTCATGGTCATGAAATAACTCATTAAAGGGCCTAGAGCACTTCCTGGCACTCCTGGTCAGCCCTGGACATATGGCAGCTATTAATTAATTAAGCAAACTCCACGAGCCAGGCGCTTCATGCAGGCAGGGTCAGGTGGCCAGAGGGCCCCTCTGTGGACGGGTGCCACACACCCTGCTCAGGCCCACACCCTGGCACAGTCTCCCAAATACCAGGTGTGGCTACACAATGGCGGCTTCAGAGTGAAGAGAAGCGTAACACAAGACAAGGAAAAACATCCATAGCCTCCAAGCCAGGGCCTGTTGGCTGCAGAAGAGAAGAAAATACGGTAAAAAGAAAACTGGCTGCTGATTAAGAAACTCTGTTTTGTTTATGGATCATTCATGGCTTTGGCCTGCTTGGAGTTTAGCAGAGAAAAGGTGGCAGTGACCCAGAAGTGACAACTCCTCGATGAGAAAGTCATTTCAAAGTGCACAGATGACGAACAGAGTAAAGCAGGAGGTCTGGGACCAACTAACTAGAGACAGGGCAGGCCCCTCAGGTCCCGGAGTGACTCCTAGCAGCCTCAGGAGCCCACGACCGTTCATTCTGTGAGGAAAGCCTCGTGGCAGGGCAAGGTGGCACCCTGTTGTCAGCCTGGCTGTTCGTGGGCGGCACCTCAGTGGCACATCCTGGAGCTGAGCACGGTGAGTCCCTTCTCCGCCTGGACAGTGACACCGGGAGGCAGCTGCCCTGTGGAGAAGCCAGCAGCTCCTCAGACCTGGGGCCGGCTTCAGGTCTTCCGAGCCAACATCTCTCCGGCCCTGGAGAAGACTGAGAAAGTGCTGACTTCCCGCTTCCGGCCGTCCAAAGCAGCAGTTTCCACAGACACTGCCTTCCGCTGCCCTCTGCGCTCCATTTCCATTTGAGGTCCGTCTCAAAAGACCTAGAACTTCGAGGGGAGGTAGCTCACTGCATAATTAAGATGTCCACAACTGCCTTGGGGCAAGAGTAGAGAACAACGAACGTGCATTAGAAAAGAGAGAAAGTATAGCAGAAGAAAAACAGTTTAACTATTAACCCAAACAGAAACGCTCTGTGAAGACAGTCATGGAGAGAGAACAGGGCTGACAGGGAACGCAGCACGATTCACAGACAGGCACAGGGTGCTGCAGCCTGCTGGAGGTTACTCCTGTAGGGTGGCCTCTCTCCCAGGACTCACCTGCTGCGTAGACACCAGGCCAGGGGGTAAAGAAGGGCGGAGAACAGCACCTTACTGTGCTGGAGTTCAGGTTTGTTTTACATACCCTGGAGTTGTCTACATTGCACATGGATTTAATTGCAGGTAAATTCCACAGTGTCTCCCCTCCCGCAGAGGTAAACACTACTCTGGAATATCGTTCACCTGGTGATAACAAAAAGAAGAAAAGTGTCATTAGTTATTCATTCTTCATAAGATGCAGAACTCAAAAACAAATCAAGTGGGAACCACATAACATTAATTAGCAGCATTTCCTTTAGTAAATTCCTCCAGAAACTTTTCACAAAAGCAGTGCCATATATCGCCTTAGCCAAAGCTTTGGTACTTGGTATGTCTTCGAGCTGTAGGATGGAAATCAAATCTATCTCTGATCAGATTTTATTTAATTAATTAATTTATTTATTTATTGTTGGGTACTGGGGATTGAACTCAGGTCCTTGTACTTGTGAGGCACGCAGCATCACTGAGTTAAATCCCTGCACCCCCCTTTTTTGGTATGGTGAGGAGGATACAACTCAGGAACTTGTGCTTTCAAGGCAGGTGCGGTGCCACGGAGCTAAATCTCCAGCCCTGATCAGATTTTAATGAGGAAGAAAGATGCATAACAACTTTCAGCAGGAAATTAGTTGAAAGCTTCCCTCTTAATTTCACAACACACAAAATCAAAGAATGACACTCTCGGGCAGTGATGGTGAACCTTTTAGAGCTTTTGGTGATACAGATAGCCCACTGCCACACGAGTGCCTTGGGTTTGCCCCCACTGCGCTAAGGAGTCCCAGGAACAGAAGGTACAGCTGTGTAGCCAGCGGGAAGAGCACAGGTGATCAGAGTCTGGCCAAGCAGAGGACACGGGCCAGGATCGCAGGTGTGCGGCGCATTCCAAGTGCTTCTCCGACCCCTGTGCAACAGTCAGAAAACAACACTGTGACACGTAGGATGGGGCGGTGGCCCGGAAAGGGTTTGGTGCTGTGGCCAGGCCCTGTCACTCTCTGCTGACTGCTAATGACTTCTGAGCTGCCTCTTCCTCTGTAAAATGGTGACAGCAGCATCTCTCTCGGGCAACTGTGAGAATTAAATGACATGATGAAAAACAGGTGCTTAATAAGCCTGCTTCTGTCTTAGTCATTAAGAAATTTAATATTTAGCAGGTAAAACAAAGTAAATTAATCTTATGCTATCTAAAATTAAGTGGTAAATTTATGGACAAAGTTTTATTATAAAAGGTTTTATTTCAGATCATGAAATTTTCTTTAGTAACTCTCATCTTTATCTTAGGTAGACTGAGTCAGGGAACAAAATCAGCCTGGTAGAAACGCACATCTCATTCTCAGAGAATCAATAATGCTGTAGTCAGAGTAGAACCTATTGCCTATGAGACCAGTGCGCGGTGTAGACTACAGAAATACAAACAAGACTCTACTTTGTCAATTTGCCAATGTTCTTCCTGGTTAAGATAGCAACCAACAGATGTCAGTGAAGCAAACATATGCTGCAACTCTGACAGAAATAAAGCAGCCAAAACGTACAACTATTCATGGTTCAATTTTTCTAATTTGTGTTTTAAGAGAAGAGACAGAAAGGGAAACTCGGGTTGCTTTCTGAAGTCTGTATAGGATCCTGTCTAAGCCACTTTTTCTCTATTACTACATGGTGAAGCAGGGCTCAAAATAAGATCCCAAGACTTGGCAAGATCTAGAAAGATCCATTCAGGTCCTCCAGGGTTCTATCAGGAAAGAAAACATATTTAAAAGAATTATTCAGCAATAACAGAAAGCTGAAAACAAAAGAGCTTCTGCGTTACCATCCATTTAAATCAGAATCTGCAAAAAACTGCGAGTTTTCCCCACTAATCGCTGTGGCTAATCAATGTCTTCCTGTCAGCCTGGGCTCCCGCTCCCCGGGTCCCCTCTCCCCGGGTCCCCTCTCCCTGTGTCTCCTCTCCCTGAGTCCCCTCTCCCTGGGTCCCCTCTCCCCGGGTATCCCTCTCCCTGGGTCTCCTCTCCCTGTGTCCCCTCTCCCTTGGTCCCCTCTCCCCGGGTCCCCTCTCCCCGGGTCTCCTCTCCCCGGGTCCCCTCTCCCCGGGTCCCCTCTCCCTGGGTCCCCTCTCCCTGTGTCTCCTCTCCCTGAGTCCCCTCTCCCTGGGTCCCCTCTCCCCGGGTTCCCTCTCCCTGAGTCCCCTCTCCCTGGGTCTCCGCTCCCTGGGTTCCCTCTCCCACCAGCCCCAGCAACAAGGCTGAGTTTGGGATGCAGTGAAAGCCCTTCAGTGCCAGCATTTAAAGAGCTGTGACCTGAGCCCTAACAGCTGCTGGGCCCTCCATTCCTGGGTCTCCACAGCACCGCCATGTCCTGCTGTCCTGTCCAGGCCCCACACACACTGCCTGCCGGCCCCAGCTGCACACTTTGGGCCTCTAGACCCCGCCTCATTCCTCTCTGTGTTTCTGCCACTCAGTGCTGCAGCAGGCAGGGGTTGGCTCTTGGTACATGTTTTCCACTGAATCAAATCTTTAAAACTTTTTTTGATAATAGATTATTTTAGGTTTCAAATCAAAATATGTACTGTGATCTAGAAATACACAAGATAAAAATTTGAAATATGACAAAAGTTTGGGCAGGGTCAAGGATTTTATTAGATTTGCATTTTACTTGAAAATAAGTCTAACTCAATCATCTTTTTATTATTGTTATTACCTATCTATTCGGGCCTATATATTGGCTGACCAACCTAGAGAAGGCAAGCTAGTCGCAGGCTACAGTGCCTGAGTCTCTAGGAGATGGCTGTGACCCTCACGCCTGCCCCCGGGCACAGCTGCAGGTCCTTCTCCAGGATGCTACTCACTCGGGACGTCGCAGAAAAAGCTGTCTTTGTGGAAGTTCCAGTCCACTTCTCTTTTCTCTCTTTCATAATGATCATCTGACCACCGATCATCCCGATGGCTGAAACAGAACAACGTGGCCTGCGGTGAGGCTCTGGCTGCTTCAAGGTGACCAGTGTGTGGTATCAGTGCATCCTCAAGCCCTACTCAGAAATGACAGTAAACTGGGGGATTCATGTAAGCAACCCACATTCATTTTCTCACTCTGGACGAAGAAAAGAAACACCACCTTAAAGATGCCAACAGGTTAAACAACTCCATGGCAAACGACTTTGAACATATTTTGTACTTCATCTTCTTTCTCAGGCGATATTTAAAGAATTCATTAAGTAATATTTATGTAGATTATATAAAAATACAGGATGGTTACCTCTTGGCTTGCTCGTCTGCATATTTAAAAGGATAATTTGCCAGCGTGGCTTTGTATCCGGTGTTTTTGACCATGTTGTTCCACGTGACCAGTCTCTGACCTATCGTTGTCCCTCTTGGCTCAAAACCCTAGGCAAAATGTCACAGGTCCCCATTAGCACACTTCACCCCAGGCTGAGCACACAGTGACAGCAAGGGGAGGCAGTGGTGGGTGACATGGTGAGAGTCACCTGTCACTGTGACAACACGGGGGAGGTACAGGTCTCAGGGAAGAGGAAGAACACTTAGCAGCCATTTGCCTTTCTAACTGATGCCTACCCATCTAGGAAGCACTTATTTTTATCTCGTGAATACACACACTGTCAGGGTGTCTCACAAAGATGAGCACTACATGTGACCTCATTTTTTTCATTTTTCCACCCCGGGGGAGATTTACTTAAAAACAGACCCACTGTCAGCAATACTAAAATTCCTTCAGTTTCTTCTGGGAGAAAAAATACATTCAATCTTAGAAGCTTTATGAAAATATTTTTATACAGTATTCAGGTTCTGTAGTGGATTGCATTTTAGTTTCAACATGGGGAAAGAGAAGCAAAACAACATCTAGAGTTTTAAGGGTGAGTAGGTTCCCTGACCTTCTAGGAATCTGAGAACACAGATTATACTTGTCTTTATATTTCAAAAAGACTCATATACTTATCCAAGGTTGGAGGTGGTTTCAAAAGAACAGAAAAGGGACATTAAACAAGAAAATGCGACCTGCATTAAAATACTTAATTCAAGGCAATGGCTCCAGCTACAGAGAACAGATCAGCTCTGTGGGCTCAGGCTTCCTTACCAGCAGTGGATCTGAGAAGTCTGGAAGCTCTAGCAGCAACACGCCCACCAGCGCACAGACCACGATGAGCAGGGTACACAGGCCCAGGACCACCACTGGCCAGTCAGCTAGCAGGGCCGCATAGCTGCAAAGCACAGAGGGTACAGGATGCCACTTAGAGGCAGCACGGGGTTTGCACCGCCCATAGAGCGATGTGTGAAGTCCTCCCAGGTTAGACCTGGGGCAGGCGTTCCTTCTGAACACACACAGGAACACAGCACACACAGAGGCACACTTAACTGTTGCAGAAAACTATAAGATCATTTTCTTTTCATTATTTGTGAGGAAGCAGCAGAGATCATATACCATGGACTACTGAGAGTCAGAATGTCTGAACACAGCCAGTTAGGTTTTGTGTCTACTATGTATGTCCAGGAAAAATAAAAAATAAAAAAACCCATGCTTAATAAAGGGAAAGAAAAACAGTCAGCAAGGACTGGTCCTTTTTGAAGTCTCTTCCATGATTATTGCTTCTGTCAGGATTGTCTTCCTCCATATCATACTCTATCAGTTCTTTAAAAGAAATCAGTCTCTAAGCAGGTTCATGAAGTGTAAATCAGAAAAGTAACCAAACCAAACACTTCCCATAGACCCACTGCTGAAACTACCTGAACACACCCACGGGACTGTGAGCACACGAGGCAGGGATGCTGGCCTGATCCGGTTAACATGTCATCAGGGCTTGCAGGAAGTGCTCTGCAAATGTCTCCAATTGAAGGACTCACCGAATACTGACCACTTGTCTCCTGGCCACTATATGTGGTGGGCTGCAGCCTTTCCCTGGCTTCAGGAACTGCTCTTACAGCCAGGCCTACCAGCAGTCCCTCCCACTAGGCTTGCCACCCCACCAGCAAACCACACCCTGGCCACACCTCAATGTCTGCACACATCCAGGTTTTCCAGGGAACACAGTACCCATGGAAGTGGACTAAACTTCAAAATGCATTTGGCTCCTTGAATTTTTTTTCCTTTTCACTTTTATTTTTATTAGCATGTTTGCCATACATACTGATGACATTCCTGGTGAGGAGTTAGCACATGAGCATAACTATTCTTTTTATGCCCCCATCTCTTAGTCCCCTTCCCAAAAGAAGAAAAACCAGAACATTTAATTTGTGGACCACTGCACTCTCACATTCTCAGAGTGTGATGCTGGCTCCTTTGGCTGCTGTGAGAGCCATTTCTGGTTCATTTTAAATATATTTCTTAGACATAGGTTTGTGAATTATTTTTTTCTGCAAAATCATGAAGTTGTCAATAAAGCCGGTAGCTCTAAATGTGTGAAAAATCTATTCTGTCTCTAAGAATAAACTGCTGGTTTGTTTATATTCTGTTTTGTTTGTGGGTCTGGCTTTGTGGGTATATTTACTTCAAATTAAAGTTCTAATAAGGGAATTAAATATAACAGAATCACACTGTGACCTGAACAGACATTTTTCACTGCTATTCTTGTACACAGAAACAAACAAGTGACAGATTGTGCTCCCTGGGACACTTCAGCTCCCTCGCCCATACTGAGCCCATCTGGGGCTATGTCCACTTCCAGGAGGAGGCCAAGGCCCTGCGGGGAGGACTGCACTGAGAACAGCTCTTACTCCATGCATGCTGTCCAAGACCCACAGATACCAGGAGAGAGTAATCCCGACACACATGTCTGTTCCCCCAAATTCACAGCTAGAAATTCTCAGAGCCACAAGCAGTTCATTTCCAAGTGAATCACACCCATAGAACTCTGAATTGAACTCTATTCACTTGACTACAAATTCTGGATCTAAAGTGGTTAAGGAAGCTGGGCGTGGTGATGCACGCCTGCAATCTCAGCAGTCTGTAAGGCTGAAGCAGGAGATTCCTAAATTTGTACCCAGCCCAGAAATTTAGCAACTTAAGTGAGATCTCAAGATAGAAAATAAAAAGGGCTGGGGATGGAGCTCAGTGGGAAGGCTGTGGGTTCAGTCCCCAGTAACACACACACACACACACACACACACACACACACACACGTGCGCACGTCCTTCATTAAGAGAAAATTATGCCAGATACAACAGAATCACACTCTAATAGAATGACTGGCTCTAATGGAAACACGTAAATCATGCCAGGCTGCCTGTAGCTTTTCCAGTGTAAACACCGAGTGCCGGAAGCTTTCACACCTCCAGAGCACACCTCTCACTTTATTTCCTCCTCCACCCAGTGCAAACTAAGATGAAAGCAGCTGGTTTTGAAGCAATAAAGTCCTTTGTCTTAATAGCATGTTGAGACTTTCTTTTCATGGCTTCAGATTTTCAGATCTTTTACATTTTAGACCTTAAAATATCAGCCTTGTGAAATGAAAATGGCTCTGGGCTTATACAATTATTTATTATACACCACTGAAATGGACCCATTTTCTTTCAAATGAACCAGAATTGTGCATTTTTACCTACAAACCTGATATCAACAGAGGGCACTGGGCCCCAAATTGCTCTGGTTTGATTTACCCATATAATGACTTTTCATTATGTGCTCTTGGAAATCACACACATGCACAGCCCCCTTAAAAACTTCTTTCAATACTCGCTCCTCTCCCCCTTGGAAACATTTGGTTTTGATTTTACAGTGCTGCTCTGCCCCAGCGCCGCCGACTCTGTGACTCGCATGGGTGGTGACCTCCACCCCTCTGCTGGCTGCCCTGCCACCCACGCCCACAGAGGGCTGAGGCCTGATGCAGGGCATGGGTGGGGAGCCAGCCCTAGCAGTCCCCACACACGGGCCTTGTCCTGCTACCTACGCAGAGACACAGCACGGCCGAGGGGCTGTAGGTCACCCTGAGAGGCAGACAATAGCTAGAAAACCAAGGTGAAAAGCTAATAAAAATGAGAGAAGTACAGGAAATCACGGTGACCCATGGTCACAGGAGTGCTGGGCATCTAAGCCAGAGACACCTTGTCGCATGCAGGCCCAGCTGTCACAGCCGCGCCAGGTGGGGTCCCATGGAGGCCCCTCAGATACACTCAGGTTCTCAGCCAGCTTCTTACCAGGTTCACTCTGGAAATAAGTCAGAAACAACTGTCCAAGCAAATAAACTACATGTCTCCCAGGGCCAGTGCATGCTCAGGCAGCACTGAAGGGGCCTGTTATAAATGGCTGTTTCTATTATAGTAATGCCCCACAATATTTTCTTCTTAGCATACACAGTTGGCCCCTTACTCTCTGTTGTGTTTCTGCAAACACTCTCTCATCCCTCCTCTTCCATCTGAGCAGAGCCAAGTGCATAGAGTGTGTGTGCCTGGAACCTGAAGCCAAGAACTCTTTCCTGGCCACCCCCAACCCTCACCCTGGTGGCCTTGCCTTTGTTCCCCAAGTCCTCTGCACTGACAGTCCACTCAGCAGTCTCGGTTCCCACCTTCCTACTTAACTCGTTTAGTTAGCCTTGCCTTCCTGAAAACCCCTCACCTTTATTTTATCCCATGTGTTTCTCTCAGATATTCTTCCTTCTTCCTTTTGTCCCTGAAGGGTAGGCATTTAAAAATGTTATTAATCACAATGTTTCCTGTGGCATCATGAATTTAACGGGAAGAATGAAGTTCAAGAAATTTCACACTCAGAAAATAGGATACTGAACTCTTTCTTTCATTCAGAACTCATATTCATTCAGCAATTAGTGTGAAGTAACAAGGTTGCAAGGCATTATGGGAGTACAAAATGGCAGACACAGACCCTGCCTGCAAGGAACTCATAGAAAAATCAGACAGCCATGCAACTATCTACACAACAGGTCAAGAAAGAAGTGTTTCTAGAGTCAGAGATAAGATGTTTTGTGAATAAGAGATTACTTCTAGCTAAGGTGGAAAAGAAAATCAAGAAAGATTTTTTGAAAAACTTGTATTTATATGTATATATACCAAAAAGAATAAATTAGGGATTCTAAAAAATACCAGTTTAGAAACAAAGGGAAAAAAATGAAAAATCTTTCAAAATACAAAATTTTTAGTCTACCAAGAAAGCCTTTATTTCTAAGGAACTGAAATTCTTTTTCTTAATATTACAAATTTATTTGTATCCTCCCTTTATCTTTTCCCATTTTTTTAAAAAAATAGGAAATTTGAATAAGTAAAAAGGGGTATACAGTACAGTGGAAGAAGGATATTCTAATACATGCTACAACATGGAAAATCCTAAAGACATTAAGCTAAGTGAAATAAACCATCATAAAAGGACAAAACTGAGTAATTCCATGCACAGGAGGGGCTGAGAGCAGCCAAATGCAGGTAGAATGGTGGTCGCCAGGGATGTGGGAAGTGGAAACGGACTGTCACTGCCTAATGGGTACGGAGTTTCCATTTCACGAGAATAGACTGGGTGGACCAGCATCGTGACAATGCCTGCTACGCAGCTCTAATGTGTGTGATGCCATCAGACTGCACACTCGAAAATGCTTAAGAGGCAATTACAGATTGTATTTCACTACAATTAAAAACTAAGTATTATTTTAAATGGAAGAAGCATTTACTAATGGAATGCCTTTTACCACATTAAAAAAGAAGTATAATTTTTGTTTGTTTTTTGGTACTGGGGATCCAACTCGGGTCCTTGTGCTTGCGAGGCAGGCGGCGGAACCACTGAGCTAAATCCCCGGCCCGAAAGAAGTATAATTTTAATGGACAAAATGTTTAAATGGAAGAAGAAACTTACACAGCAATTTTGCTCTAAATGAGAACTCTCTTGAGGCAGGCTGTGTAGTTCTAGCATCTGAGCTTCTTTGGCACCTGACTTTCAGACTCACTTGGACTTTCTTAAGTGTAATGACATTGCACCTGGACCCCAGACAGGGGAAGAGCTACATCTGACGAGACAATGCTTTTTTTTTTAAGAAACTTTTATTCATTTAAAGTCTCCTCTATGAAAAGATAAACTTCAAACATTCCCATACCTCCCTCATAGTAGGGCTATACAATGTCCAGAAAGACAGATGACACTTTCTAAATAAACTCTGTGCACTGGAGTCCAGCTGACAGAACTCTCTCCCCTCAGGGAAGACCGTGAAAAGCCAACCCCACACACGAAGGGCTGCGAACAACTAGACAAATGCAGAGGAACAGACACAAACTAAGAGCTAAACATCTACCTTAAGATTCATAACCAGTTCTGGCGATAAGAGATTCCTTCTCTCAGGAACGTTTTTCCTTCAAAGAAACAGGAATGAGGAAGGCAGAAAGAGTAGCACTGTGGGTGAGATGCCAGAAGGGCACAGGCATGCGGGCAAGGTTATTCTGGACTAAGATGACCCAAAGAACCTTACCTTTTCGGCAACTTGAAAGGTCTGCGTGGTCTGGAAAAAAAGCAAAGGAGAATTGATCAGAAACTAAGCATGAACCCATTCCAAGAAGTTTTACATGCAGACTGGACATTTACCTCTCCGCTCATTGTCCTCTGCAGTCTCCTCTGAAGACTGCACAGGCCACCTACTAGTGACAGCAAACACACATGACACGCAGCGCCTAGGGCTCTCCTGGTCCAGCCTCCATCTCTCTGGGACCTGGGGCTGCCAGCTGCTATCCTCTCCCCACACCTCCCTTCTACCTGCCCCCTTGATCATCAAGGCCCCTAACACTCTGATTTGGAGCTACAAAGAACAGTAATACTTTCTGGTACCACAAACATCTATTTTCCCTTTAGGATTCCAGTGGCTCTTCAAAGCTTCACTCCTGCACCTTTCTTTTTTGTTCTGGGGATTGATCTCCGGACCTTGCCTTTACGAGGCAGGTGGCAGAACCACTGAGCTAAATCCCCTGGCCTCTTTTTGTTTTTCTCTGTCTTTCCTCCCTTTAAGATATCAGTGTCTCTTCAAAGTCCCCCGCCCTCTTTCTTTCTGACACTATCTGGCCATGTAGCCTAGTCTGGCCTCGAACCCACAGCACTCCTCCTGGCTCAGACTTCCAGTGCTGGGACTACAGGCTTGCACCGCCACACCCGGCTTGAGGCTTTGGTTTCCTAATTTCCATCTTTAAGATCTATTTGAACAAGTGCACGCTTGGTTTGAATTGCGCTGTCCCCATGCTGCAATGATGCATCCCCCCTACCCTGCCACTCAGATACACAGGACAAGCTTGCTAAAGAGAATCCAGCCTTGGTCAGAACCCCAAACTCTATATTCCCAACAGATAGGTTTCCTATTTAGCAGCATGGGGAAAACTTCACCGAAGGTCTGGTGAGGAAACAAACCTACTGCCCATCCTCACTATGCCCAGGGCCAGTGCTCTCGTGCAGTGGTCTTCAGCCCCCAGAGACCCTGGGCTCTTGCATGCTGCCTGGGCCTTCCTGCCCAGTTTGGTCATGGGCTGCCCTGTGCTGAGCGCAGCCCGACATTTCTGCTGGCTTCCACTAAGCCACACATCAGAGGTCTGCAGATGCAAAATGACACCTCAATAAACTCTTTTCAAAACTGTAATTACTTTTCACAAAGGTGTTATTTATGTTAACATATAATTGGCTTATTATCTTTCAAGTTAAATACAGTTTCTCAGTTTCAATTCCAATATAGTACACATGACCTATAAAAGAAAAAGAAAAGTTCCTTGGAGGTGTTTGATCATTTTTGAAAGTGCAAAAGGGTTATGAGACCAAAAGCCTCAAGAAGCACTATACTAAGAGAACCGATATGAATATAAATATATATATTACACACACACACACACACACACACACACACACAAAACATGGATTCCCTAGCTATGCACACTTTCCTATACTTGGAACAAAACATGACACACATTTACTGTTTTGGATAAATCCACCAGGAAACCTCTAAATCCTATATCCTCCTATCAATTACACAGTGATTTTTTTTTTTTGAGACAGGGTTTTGTTCTGTAGTCCAGGCTGGCCTGTAACTCTCCATGTAGCCCAGTCTGTCTCAAACTCACAATCCTCCTGCCTCTGCCTCCTGAAAGACAGGAGTACAGGGTCGTGTGCCACCAGGCCTGGCTTTCATAGTGATTAAGAAAATGGTATTATTGAGATACAATTCACATACCACACAATTCATCCATTTAAATTGTGTATTTAAATGGCTTTAGCACTGTCAGAGTTGTGTGACCATTACCACAATCACACGATGACCTTGCCATGTGAACCCATGGATGAAGCTATAGTGAGCTACATGGAAAGAGTTACCTGTCAGAGAGGAGAGGAAGGTCTGGGACAAAAGAGCCGATCACCTACACATAACCCCACATTTTCTACTTCCTGTTTTCCAGTTATACAGGCTCAAAGCACCTACTGGATTTCCACGAAAAGCCAGTAGGTTATGCCATCTTTGACCTAAAATGGCCCCAAAGCCACAGTCCTGGACTATATGTGACTGGGCATTAGTAAAGAAATGAAATCTGATGTGCCTCTTTTGGGCTGTAAGGAACAGGGACATCCTCCTTCCTCCTGCGCACCAGACTGCAAAGCTACAAAATCCATGGCTCTGCCCGGCTCACTCTAGAGACAGAACAACTGTGGCCCGTTCATGTCCTTTCTGCCTGAGCACAGAACGCATTTTGTTATATTTGAGACAGTAAGGAGAGACTGTCAGCAAGAGCTGGAAAAGAGAAACTGAGGTTACTACAAAGATGCCTCCTGGGAAGCACTTGAGCCTTGTGAAGTTTCTGTGCTAATGGACATGACAAGCGGATGGTGGAGACACACGGCCATGCTACGGGTGACACAGGAAGCCACTGTGGTCTGCAGTTTCGCCTGCCTCTGTGTCTTTCTCCAGAAAGCATCTTTGAGAGCGGCAAGCAGGGAAATCACCTCTTCACGCAGACAAGTGGTCTCCCGCCACAGCAGGGCCCTGCACGCTGGTTCCTTTCCATGTCCAACCAGGGCTACTGCAGGGTGCTCTTTCCGCTGGCTTCCCAGTCAGTGTTAACCAACCGACCACCCCAATGCCTGTTGGAGGGAGAAGCTGTCTCTTCCTGGGTTCACTCACCCTTTAATGCTACATGGCCCAAATAGTTCTGGCTGGCCCAACCACCATGTAAACCAGACGAGCAGACGTCACCTGCACAGTTCCCTTCCTGCAGGCCAGGCTAGGACGACATCTGTGTCTTCTGTAGCTCGTTCCCGGCTGTGGTGCAGGCAGGTAGGGGCTGGGGACAGCTCCCCAGCTGCAACTGGCTGCCCTGTTGCTCCTTCTCTCCCACATAACTGGGCATTTCTGTTTGCAAGCAGGTGACAGTAACATCACTTTAAGACTAAGCCCAAATCTGTTTTTATAAAGCACTCATAAACTCAAGTGCTCATGATTAGTAGGTGCTGGCGCTGCCCACCTAGAAGATGACAGGAGTGAGAGCCTGGCTGGAGAGCTGGGCAACAGCTGGGAGGCAGCTGTGATGGTCTCAGATGGAGGGAAGGCAGGAAAAGAGCAAAGGGACCAAGACAGTCGGGCAGAAGAGGCAAGGGAGCACTTTAAAAAGGGCAATGGAGAGAACAAAGCATAGGAAGATAAAAGTCAACTAGAAGCCCGGAAAAGGAAATAACTGCAATGGAAGTCACGACACACTAGCGCGGTTACAGTTGTATAATTATAAATAAACTGTGGCAGATATAATTATACAGCACTAAAAATCATGTTTTCAGGAGATTTTCATTACATGGAAAAGCCTCATGTTCCAGAGTGATAGCATATTATACATCGACTGTGATTCCAACTGTTTGCATATTTTATGTCTGTATTTGGGATGAAGGAAAAAATACTGAAAGGAAACCAATCATAAAGAATTACAGGGGCCAGGGATTTAGCTCAGCGGTTTGGTGGCCTGCCTCGCAAGCACAAGGACCCGAGTTCGATCCCCAGTACTAAAAAACAAAAAACAAAGAATTACAGAGGTTTTATCCATATACTGAGAATACAGTGATTGTTTCTTTCTCTGTGTTTCCTTCCCTCGTTTTTTTCTCTCTCTTTTAAGAATTGTTGGGATAAGAAAGGGAGATTGCATGGTGAAGGAAATGAGAATAATGCAACCTGAGATCTTCCCGTCAGTCTGGAGCATGCTTTCTCCACAGCTGCAGAATCTGCAGTACAACCCACAGGTGACCCAGCATCGAGGAAACCAAACCCAGAAAGGGCCTGGTATACCTCTGAACAACTCAAGTGCTACGAAGGAAACAGACCTTGAGCTTCACCGTGTTAAACCGCACTTGGGCACCAACGCCCACCTCCGCCATTGCAGTCACAAGGGCTGAGGCCCACGGTGCAGAGGACAGGCGGAGAGAGGGCTTCAGCTCTCGTGAGTGTTCTTTCAAACATTTCCCACAAAAACACAGCCATTCTTCATGTGACTGCTTCCATGAGTCACCACTGGTGCCCTTGGGCTCTCTGGTGAAGATGAAACAGATTCTCTGAGACCAGGTACCCACTATTCACGCACCAGAGCTAGATGCCTGTGTCTGTGTCAAGTGAGCTGGGGGCTGACGGTAACCACAGACTTGCACAGTGCATTTCCAGGATGCTGAAACCACGTGGGTTCACGCCTGGTCACCAAGTCCAGGGACAACTGCCTGTGGCTCCAAGGGAACCTGCAGCCGGAGGAAGGTGTTCAGTGCCCGGTAAATACCGCACTTCATAAAAGTTAAAAAGAACTGAGCTTAGGTCCAGTAAAAGCTTGGCGTGTGGGAGAACAAGGAGCACGAGGGCCCCCACCTCAGCTCAGCGACCCTGAGCGAGTCAGCCGGTCTGGCAGAGGGGCGGGTGCGGGCCCTGTACCTGCTGCACACTGCACTGCCAAGGGCAGAGCCACCCCTCCTCCTCTGGAAGGGACCATCCGCGGGTCCCTTCCTGCCTCCGAGCGCACTGAGTCCATAGCCCTTGCTCTACACGATCCAAATGGTGCCTGCTGGCGGCTGAAGAGAAATGAAAATTGACGTGTGCAGACCACAGCAGGCGGGGGAGGCCCCCCATGCCAGTGCCCGGGCTGCTGTACTTTCGCGATCATGGCCCGGCTGAGAGAAGCGGTGCACTGATGCGTCGCGAGCTGGGACAGCAGGCTGGTGACTTGTTCCGCACCGCAAGGAGGGTGCAGGATGCACCCGGGCGAGGCTCTGCAGGAGAAGCTGGGAGCAGAAGGCGCCGGAATCGGCCATGCCCACCAAGGACACCACGCGAGAGGGACACACGCACACCAGCACATGGGCCGGAGGGAGAATCCCTGGGACTAATGACAAAGTGAAAAAGAAATAAATGAAAATGTCTCGGTGTCCTTTAAACCCAACAGACCTGTTCACCACGGAGAGAAAGGGCAATCAAGAGTGAGTTTAAGATCGCTCAAGCGCCAGGAGGTAGCC